AAAACAATGGGGCCTTGCCGAAGGCCCGCTGAAGTGGTGAAGACTGGATTCGGTCCAAGTGATGTTGGGCCGAAGGTTTCCTGCACAGCAAACACACGTAAACTAGCCTCGGGGGTGTTGCCGAGGAAGGCCCCTCCGATGCTAAAGTCAGTACAGTGTGTAGAGAGAGAAAGCTATGCAACAGAATTAATTGCTTGAGACTTTGTGTGAATGTCTGTACAAATGTAATATTGATGGTTTTTATACCTTTGTATATGTGGAGAATGTGGGCCTTGGCCCAATTGACTTGCCTTGTGGACTGATTTTGACTTTAGCACAATTAGAGAGTTGAACCTTGACCTTGGGCTTTTAATTGGATCATTTAATGACTAGGCCCAATTGGACTAAATTGGACCCAAACAGAGTATATATATGTTGATCACTTATCGATCGAATAAGACAAGTGATGTATTTTTTAAAAGCAGATGGAATCAAATTAATTCTGTGTATGTCATTCAATTTATATAATTATTAATTGAGATTAAAATTTCAAGGGTATGGTTATTATTCATGATGCAAAATTAAATGTTAAGTGAAATAAAATCTTAATAATACTCTTTATTCTCTTTTTTTACTATCATTATTTGATCCATTGTCATGCATGCTAGCTTGTAAATTTGCAATTCTAGCCCGCGATCTAAGGTACCCATTGTAAACGTTATCCATTTGTCATATATGTATTAAAATTGTTTTATCTTATGATTTTATTTTAATATAATATTCCCTTTCCAAAATGTGATATAAAGATGAATGATGTGACGTATATTAGGCCAAGATTTTATCACGCATGAAATTATACACGAAATATTTTATTATATGACTATATTATGAGAGGCTGAAATGAGGTTCTTTTTCGTAAAGCCTTGTTGTTTGCTACTTTTCATCTCTATTTTAACATTAAAAAAATTAGAGTTGCAAAGGTGGTGTTTGCCAGATTTCTTGATTGGTTTTTCTTCTTTATCAATAATAAGGGTATTTTGACTTTTACCACCTTCAAATAACCACTTAATTGAATTTACCACCTCCAAAAAAAAAAGATTTACTTTACCACCAACAAAATTTCCAAAAAAATCGATTTTACCACCAACTAACGGATTCCGTCCACGAATCCGTTAGTAGGGCCCACCTTTTTGACGTTTCTTCTTCATCTTCCCCGATCTTCCGTGTAAACCAACCAGCAACGAAATCAACTACCTCGGTTGGTCGGAATTTCGTGTGTGACTAAGGAGGGGCCGGAATTTGGTGTGTGGGTTAGGGAGGTGGTCGGAATTAGGTGGTGGTTAGGGTTTTAGGAGTGCGAAATTTGGTGGTGGCTAGGGTTTTTAGAGTGGTCGGAATTAGAAGGGGATTTATGGGTGGTCGGGATTTGGTGGCTGCCAAAAACTAAGAAGCCAAATCACCAACAACAAGGATACAAATCGATTATCATCAACATTTCTACAAACCAAAGCAATTAATCCATTACAACACCCACAAATCGAAACCTCAAAACCAGAAAAAGAATTGGGTAAATCAAACCTTGTCAATCGTTTTTAGCATCAAGCTCAGAACCCCACTTCAATGGAGTCGATTCCAGGTGACTTCCATGGTTGAGGATAAGAAGACGACGGTCAGAGGAGAGAGAATGAGCGAGATGAAGTCTGATTAAATGGGTGTTGTTGATTGATTAAGGAATGCCAAGCCTTGGAAACGCATTTGAAGCGAAGTAGTGATTTAGTGGGTAATCGAAAAGAATAGTCACAATCCTATAATCATCTCTATCAAAAGCATACCCAAAACCAAAATTGATATTGATAAAATCCGGAGCCAGTTCTTCATTATCAGGGGGATGAGGAAGTATGATATGGGTATTAGTAGATGGGTTCCATAACATAATCTCAAACAATTGAGGATTATCAACATTTCTACAACTCAAAGCTACTAATCCATTACAAGACCCAGAAATCGAAAACTCGTAACCAGAAAATGAAGTGGGTAGATCAAACCTGGAGTAAGTAGTAGCATTAGCTGAAGGGTCGAACTCGGAGTTCAGCTTTAATGGCGTCGTTTCCAAGTGACTGCCATAGTTGAGAATAAGGAGACGATTGTTGGAGGAGAGAGATTGAGCGAGGTAAAGTTTGAGGAAATGGGAGGTTTTGAGTAGGGAATTCCAATCTTTAGAAACGCATTTGAAGCGAGCTAGTGATTTTGCAGGTAATCGGGTAAGAATGGAGGTGATTAACTCCATTGGAAGAGACGCCATTGTTGTGGCTTTCGAGAAAACAGAGCAAAAAAATAAATATAAATTGGTGGAAAGGTGGTTGTGGCTGTGCGGTGCGGTGGTGGGGCTGGTCGTAGCGGTTAGGTGGTGGGGGCTGGTCGTAGCGGTTAGGTGGTGGGGGCTGGTCGTAGCGGTTAGGTGGTGGGGGCTGGTCGTGGCCGGTCGGCGGTGGGGGTCCTGACGGTGGCAGCAACACCGGTTGATTAATGGGGATTTTTTTAATTTTTTTTTAAACTTACCCAATAATATGGCGACACGTGTGCAAGGTAGGCTCCACTAACGGATTTATGGACGGAATCCGTTAGTTGGAGGTGATTGGTGGTAAAACTGATGTTTTATTTTTTTATGAGGTGGTAAAGTAAATCTTTTTTTTTTGGAGGTGGTAAATTCAATAAAGTCGTTATTTGAAGGTGGTAAAAATCAAAATACCCTAATAATAATTAGTCATGTGATAATATATTTGAGCTTACTACACCCATAGTTCTTAATTTTTTATGGGCCAGATACATACTCGACCGTGTTAGAGAATAATTTGAACACATACTAGTGGTCGAGACATATTTCAAAAACGCAATAGGAACTCAATAATGTTTGGGTGTTGTTATTTGTCGCTCCCTTTTTACCAGGCGTCGCTCGCATTTTTGACTTGAATTTCCTAAATTGCCCCTTGGTCATAAATAGCCACGAGACTCACGAACTACACATTTCACACTTGAATTTTCTCTCTCTAATATTTTCTCTCTCTAAAATCTGTAATCTCTCAAAAAAATCAGATTTTTTTTTGAAAATCAGAATTTGAAAATTCACAAGGAAAAAAAAAAAAACCACAATCCCAAGTGACTTGCAATGGGTGACCGGAGGCGGATAAGGGTGACGTATGGTGGTCGTGGCGGTGGTGGATTCTCCGGCGAACAGGTAATCGAAACCGAAAAAAAAATTCTGGAAAAAATCTGGAAAAACCCAGATTTTCTGGAAAATCCGGGGACATCCGCCTGAAAAATCCGGATGTTCCTGGGACATCCGGATTTTTCAGGCGGATGTTCCATGGACATCCGGATTTTTCAGGCGGATGTCCCCGGATTTTCCAGAAAATCTGGGTTTTTTCGCCTTTTTTTTATTTGTTTTTCAGTTTTTTTTTTTTTGTTTTTCAGTTTTTTTTTTTTTTGTTTTTTCAGTTTTTTTTTTTTTTGTTTTTCAGTTTTTTTTTTTTTCTAGTTTTGTTTTGCACATTTTTTTTTTCTGTTTTTTTGGTTGTTGTTGTTGTTGTTGTTGTTGAAGTTGGTGTTGTTGTTGGAGTTGTTGTTGTTGTTGTTGTTGTTGTTGTTGTTGTTGTTGTTGTTGTTGTTGTTGTTGTTGTTGTTGTTGTTGTTGTTGTTGTTGTTGTTGTTGTTGAAGTAGTAGTTGTTGTTGAAGTTGTTGTTGTTCTTGAAGTTGTTGTTCTTGAAGTTGTTGTTGTTGTTGTTGAAGTTTGTGAGGTTGTTTTTAATTTTTTTTAATTTGTTTATGGTTGTTAATTTTTTTGATTTGTTTGTGTTGTTTTTGTGTATTGTTTTTTTTTTATCCTTTTGTTTTTATGTTTGTGAGGTTTTATTTTTGTTTGTGTAATTTGTTTATGTCTGTTAATTTTTTTTTGATTTGTTTGTGTTGTTTTTTGTGTATTGTTTTTTTTTTTATCCTTTTGTTTTTATGTTTGTGAGGTTTTATTTTTGTTTGTGTAATTTGTTTATGTTTGTTAATTTTTTTTTAATTTGTTTGTGATTTTTATTGTTTTTTGGTTTGTTTTTGTGGTTTTGCTTGGGAAAATTTATTTTTGTTTATGATTTTTTTTTATTATGTACGTATTTAACATAGATTGAGGGTTCGGGAACTCGTCACGCAATATCTAGACGTTTGAACGCCTCAGTTAGGCGGGAGTCAGGCCGTTTAGGAAATACGGTCGAACCGTTTGATCACCAGCAGCAGTATGGGTATACTGGTAACTGGTCCGGGGAGCAGCAGCCAGAACGCAGCATCCCCATGTACTCGTCGGGTGGAGTGCCTTCACCTTCATCTGACGATGAGGACGACGAGGCAAGTCAGGCTTCCCGCGATGAAGAGTATGACCCTCGGGATTATCATACGGTGCGTAGGGGTCAGACTGGGAGATTTGTCAGCAGTAGTCAAACCAGTCAGCGTTCCACCAGCTCAACAGAGGCATGGGTAGTGCATGAGGCGATGCCAGGAGGTCCTGAGGATGGGACGGTTATCCCTAGCTTTGGGGGGCACGTGGCTGCGTATATATGGGGCGGGCAGGAGCGTAATGTTTTGCGCTGTTTGGGCAGGACGCAGTTGTATATTATATCCCTAGAACTGTTCAACCTAAATTACATAAATCTGTTCAATCTAATTACATAAATTCGTCTTTCAACGTAATTACATAAATCTGTTCAACCAAAATTACATAAATCTATTCAACCTAATTTAATTACATAAATTCGTCTTTCAACCTAATTACATAAATCTGTTCAACCTAATTACATAAATCTGTTCAACCTAACTACATAAATTCATCTTTCAACCTAATTACATGAATCTGTTCACTGGGCAATTAATGCATCCCACATGTTCCTTCTAGCGATATATAGCTGATCCCATCCACCGACACTTGGCTCGTGGTTCTCTGTCCACCATCCGGCAATCGGGGGAAGAGGTGAATTTTCGCCTAGATCAATGCTGATGAAATTTTCGCCTGGTTCGTCCAGAATGTGACGAATTTGGTCTTATGACAAAGCCAGGTTCTCTCGACATAACTAATCACATTTGGAAAACTGGCCCACCGGATTTTCATTCTGTCTACAGCTGAGTTATAATCCGCCTCAGTCGTGGCATCCATGATACGTTTCCAAGGACCGTTTTTGAATTGCGCCCCAATCTTCTTGTTCTTGAACATACTAGTGACCCGAGCCTTCACATCTTTGTTAATGTGCCACCGACAAAGCAAATGCGACGTCCCGGGAAACTCTTCTCTCAATGCCGCACAAAGTCCAAGCTCACGGTCTGTCAGAAATACCGACGGCTCCTTATCATACCCAATCAACTCTCTTAATCTCTGTAGAACCCACCGGTAGCTTCCCGTGCACTCGTTGCGCATGAACACATAACCGACGAGGAAATTCTGATTTGTCGGTGTCACACCGACTATCTCAAAGAACGGCATCCCGTATCGGTTGGTCTTGTATGTCGAATCCATGCCGATCACATACGGGTACGTCCGTAGTATGTTCACCGTGATCGGGTGCACCATAAACGCATGCTGCAGAACGCTGACATCATCAGACATGACCCAGTAAATATACCGGCTCTCTCTCGCCAAATGCAGAAATTGCTGAACAACTCCTCTCCCATCAGACATCTCCGCTCTCAAGTCATTCCGACAGTTGTAGATATGTCGGATGTTTGGATGGTCATCGGGAAATTGCTCAGCAATTGTCGCCATGATGTTCCGCGGTGCAACCTTGGACTTTGTCATGTCCTGGACAACCTTCTTCGCATCCGGGCTCAAGCCACTGATCTTACGATGACCTTCCGGATAGACAATCATTGGATGGTTATGGGTCCCAGTTGCATCATTCTTGGCCCGGATCTTCCAACTGTCGGTGACGAAGACATAATAAATCTTGATGTAGAAAGGACAACCAATTGCTTTGGTTTTGGTGTCCCTCCTAATTGCATTCTCAAGATCTCTCGGCTGGCTCTTTCGGCCCCTATCACACCTCAAATACCGGTACGACCGACCGTCTCTGGTTTTGTTGTAAGACGATTTAACCAAAAGAAAACCCAAATTTACGGCAACAGCATTCGCCCAATTAACTGCCTCATCAAACGTTGGAAACAACGTGTCTGTGGCAAAATGCGCACTATAATTCACATCGTCGGCACCATCTTCGTATTCCGAACCCTATAAACAAAAATGAAGACACACATAAAACACAAACACGTTACTTCTAATTCTAGTATAGACAATAATAGTAACAATATTAAACATAATATTAACAATAAACACAACAATACTAAAAACAAGTTAACAATAATCATAACCACAATACTAAAAATAATTTAAACAATAAAAACATTAACAATAACACTAATATAATAACCATAACAATAATAACAAAATTAATCATAATAATTACACAATTAAACATAACGATAATAAAAACAATAATAGTAAACACAATAATATCAACAATAATAGCGATACTAATAACCATTAATGCACAAAAAATTAAAAACATTAATAATAACCATAATGATAATAATAATCATAATAATAATAGCAACACTAATAATAAAATAATACTAATAATAATAATCAAAAACATCAACAATAACACTAATATATTAAAAAAAAACAGAAAAAAAAAAACGGTTTTAAGTAACATCCGGAAGGAATTTCCAGATGTTCCATGGAAGATCCGGAAATTTCATCCGGATCCTCCATGGATCATCCGGAAATTCCATCCGGATGTCACTTCCGGACAAAATTTCCGGAAGTTCCATGGATCCGGATGGAATTTCCGGATGATCCATGGAGGATCCGGATGAAATTTCCGGATCTTCCATGGATCATCCGGAAATTTTGTCCGGATGTTACATAAAACAAAAAAAAAAAAAATTTTAGCGAAACTTACTGAATCTTCCGACGATGCCTCCGGTGTGCGATCGTTGCCGTCATTCCACATCTTAAGCCGGTAAATTCACCTCCAGAAAAATTTTGTGAAGAAAATTTAAAAAAAAAACGACTACTCGGGATTTGGGGACTCGGGAATTTTGAAAAAGAAACTTTGAGTGAAACCGCTCAATAATATTTTTAATATGATCGTGATTCGTTATGACTACTCGGTGAACCTTTAAATAGCACAAAATCACCTAAGGGCAAAATGGTCATTTCAGTCATAATTGGGAGCGATGCCTGGTAAAAAGGGAGCGACGAATAGCAATTCAGTAATGTTTTGGTACACTTATACGTTAGCTCCGTGACGATTTAAAATGGGTTTCCTCCCCTTATGCGTGCCAATTGTGTGGTTCTGCCCCTTTTAGGGCAACCAATATAATTTAGTTGAGCTTCATATTTCAGAGAGATCCTCAAATCTTCTTCATATCTCTAATAATTAAGTCCACCAATCCCATCTTTTTGGGCCAAACAATTAAACAATAATATCCTCCTGTGCTTGTTATTATACAAGTATATATATATATATATATATATATATAATATATATATATATATATATATATATATATATATATATATATATATATATATATATAATATATATATATATATATATATATATATATATATATATATATATATATATATATATATATATATATTGGAAATGGATAAAAGTTTTGATTAGCTAAACTTACAAATTAAGAAAGATTTTTCATCTCAAAAACCATGTACAATAAACGGTTCAACTCATTAAGCTATAGTTGGTCACTATTTTCTCTTCTTCACCGATCCAATGTCACAAATGTAATCACACATACACATACATTGCATGCATTTTGCATGTGTATGAGCTTCAATACAAAGAATTTGAATTCAAGACAGAATTATTATTGGGTTTTTCTACATAGTACCCCTAAGGTATTCACTTTTCTAAGATGTGCCCACCCATTTTCAAAATTTCACACTGTAACCCCAAGGTACCTTTAGTGTCTACAATGTAACCCTGTCGTTAAGTTGCCGTTAACTATTACCGTTAGTTTTTATGTTGCCTCCCTCACACCTTCACGACCCAGCCTTAACCACCCTAACTAACGCACCCAGCCACTGCCACACACCAACAACCACCACACCTAGCACAACCGCCACACACCAACAACCACGAAGAAAATTGAACCCAACCCTAACCCTAACCAGCCCCACCACAGCCACTGCCGGCACTCCCATCCCCACCTACTCCAGCTGATGCACCACCTTAGCCCAACCCCAAACTCGCGATTGACGCACCCCCTAGCCCAACCCAAAACACCTCAGTCCCAACCACTATCGCGCAAAACCACTCACCCCCCTTTCCCCTCACCCTTTAAACTGCCAAATCGACCATTCGGGTTTCATTGGTCGATTCCGGCCATTTAAGGGTGAAAGGGTAAAGGATTGGAGTTTTTCGTCCTTTAGGGTTCACGCATCAACTTTTTGGTGGTCGAATCGGCGGCGAATTGCTGTTGTTGTTTTCGGCGGTGCGTTGTGCTGGGTGCGGTTCGCAGGGTGGGTGCGGTTGCTTGGGTGAAGTTCGGTGGGTGGTTCGCTGGGTGGGTGGGTTTGGAGGAGGGAAGGGTTGGTGGTGCGTGGGTGGTTTTGCAGGAGGGAGGTTTTTTTTTTTAAAAACAGATTTTTTTAATTTTTTAACAAAAGTTAACGGTGTTAACTTTAGGATTAGTGGGGGTTACATCGTAGACACTAAAGGTACATTAGGGTTACAGTGTGGAATTTTGAAAATGGGTGGACACAACTTAGAAAAGTGAATACCTCAGGGGTACTATGTAGAAAAACCCATTATTATTACGTCGCCCTATTCCTAATGAGTTGTGCTAGTTAATTCCCCAAATAAACAAATTTTTTTGTTTATCTGGGATATAATCGTCTTTTGAAGTACCAGTGGAGGAGTATATGCGTCTTTTTATGTATTAATTGAGGGGTACATGTGAAATTTTCTCACTAAACTTATTTAATCTTAATAATCTGAGTCCATACTTTTAGCAGCCTAGCGGGAATAAACACAAATTTTAAGTATAAATTATTAAGATTAAATAACCTGCACGAACTCCTTCACATCATTAGCAAGTTTTGTACCCTTTTCCGGTCCATGCATATCCGTTAGTGTCAATTCAACAATGACCATCTTAGAGTGAGGGTCGAGAAGAAGAGCAACATAAATGAACTTATTCATCTTATCCACATCCCCCCAATACTTATCAAACTTTTTTTTCATTGCAATGGCCATAGCTTGAAAATTCAAGTCCTCACTTTGTTCCCAATTATTCAACATATCATACATAGAAGCAATTTTCTCCTAAACCTTTATTAGCTGTCACATAATGGGAACCAGAAATTCGTTTAGTTAACAGATAAAACCCCTCTAGAAACAAAACCAACCTCTCCACTTTTTCCCAATCTTCGGGTTCGGGAGGCCTTTCATTGTCATTCAAAATCCTCTCCATCAGGAAGAGATAACCCACTAAAAACACGTCGAAACTTCAAAGCCGTTTCCAACATTATGTATGTGGAGTTCCAACGAGTGGGGACATCAAAGGATAAAGAAGATTTTGAATCTATGTTTGCTTTTTGCACAAGATCTTTGAATCTAAGTATTCTTGCAGGGGAATCCTTAACATATTTCACAGCATTTTCTAACTCTATCAATGCACACACCATGTTCTCTAATACCATCCCACACAATTAAATTAATGATATGAGGCAATGCATCTAACATGAAGATTTTTTTCCATCATTTATACATCCTGTTCTTCTAACCATTCTACTCAAGTGTGCACAAGCAACATCATTTGAAGAAGCATTATCAACAGTGACAGTAAAAATTTTATCATCAATACCCCAATACTCTAAACATGCCTCAACTGCTTTTCCAATAGCCTCTCCTTTATGACTAGAAATTGGACAAAAATTTATGATCTTTTTATTCAATTTCCAGTCATTATCAATGAAATGAGTTGTAAGACACATATAATTAATTCTTTGTATTGAAGTCCAAGTATCAGTGGTCACAGAAATTCTTTGACATGTCTTAAACATTTCTCTCAATTTCTCTTTTTCACTATAATACAACTTTAAACAATCACGAGCAATGGTAACACGAGATGGAATGTGAAATTGTGGACATGCAACTTGCACAAAGTGCCTAAAACCGGGTTTTTCCACATGCTTAAATGGTAACTCATCAACAATAATCATGTGAATCAATGCCTCTCTAACATCATTCAAGTTAATAATCCTACTCCCACACTTTAATTCACTACTCTCATGTTCTTGATCAAAATACAATTTAGTTTGCTTTTCTTGCCCTTTTCTTTTTCTATATTAATAGGATTACCGAGACATGATTCTGCATGGTTTTTAACATTTTTTGAACCATTAAGATTACCATCAGCAGCAAAAGTTTTAGGACAGAACTTACATTCAGCTCGTAGTTTTCCATTCTCGACGTACTCTAAGTAATATTTCCAATACTCAGCTTTCCTCTTACTTTTTCTGTTCCATATATATTCCCGCCCCGCTTTTAGCTTCTTATCAGGAGGCAAAGTAGATTGCAATTCTTCCAAATCCTTTTCAGAAAGTGGATGTGACGTTTGTTCAGAAAAAGAAGCAGACCGTTTGGATTGAGAGCTCTCCATCTACAATATAATTATATACAATATAAGTAATTTTAAAGTAACAATTATATACACATACCATTTTATAAAAAAATTTAAGAGCAACTTACATTGCAAGAATAAGAATCCGTGGTTCCTTGACTTCCCTTCACTCCCTGCAAAGAATAAAAACAAAAATAAGAACCCCTAAACTACACACAGGTTAGCCAACTTATTTAATCTTAATAATCTGAGTCCATACTTTTAGCAGCCTAGCGGGAATAAACACAAATTTTAAAGTATAAGTTAGCTTAAAAAGTGTCCATATATACACATTAGAAATATCAATACCAGGTAAATACCGTGCAATACACCATTTGATTAGTACACTGTCCAAACAAATTACAAAAAATTCACAGAATACTACATTGGCATATATTCTGAAAATATAAACAGATTTTTAAACTGTTCCATAAGTTATACAACAAGTAGAGTAGCCTATCCCTGATTATCAATCTACTCCAGCAAATTCACCAATATAAACAGATTTTAAACTCACAAATCGAAAGAAACCAAAAATTCAACATGAATTCGAAACAATTGAACTAAAAAAATTCAAAAACAATTACTTTAAATAAATAAAAAACTCAAAAAAAAAAACATGAATTCGAAAAAAAATGAACTAAAAAACAGAATTTCAACATGCAAACATTCAAACAATCAATTATTAGCAATTGAAACATGAATAAAACATATGAATGCCTCACATTTAATTCAACATTTCAAATTAAAAAAATATCCAATTCAAATATAATTCGATTTAATTAAAAAAAAAGAAACTTACAAATCCCAACGTGAAGGAGTTCGTGCAGGTGGACGAAGATGGTAGTCTGGCTGATGCAGCGTGTAGAGGTTTCCGTGCTGCTGGTCTGGTGGGCGGTGGCGACTGGTGTCTGGGCGGTGGCGACTGGTGTCTGTGCAGATCTGCTGCGTGAGGGAGTGAGTGTTGGTGTGGTGTCGGCTGAGAGAGAGAGTGCGTGAGTGAGGAGTGAGTTAGGGTTAGTGGGTTACAAAAATGAACAGACTTGTTTTGAAATTTGGATTTTTTTTTTTTTAATAAAAAAGGCATTTTTTACCGGGTTTCAGGTCCAGACCTGAAAACCCCGGGTTTGGACCTGATCCGGACCGGGACCGGGAACCTTGATTTTCAAGGACCGGGACCGGACCTGAATTTACAGGTCCGGGTCAGGTCCGGTCCAAAACAGGTCCGGGTCAGGTCGGTTTTCAGGTCCGGTCCTGTTTATGTACACCCCTAGCTAAGGTTAGCTAGGAATCTTCTGCGCTGACCTTTGCCCAAAAAAAACCAACAAAGATGGCTAATTTATTTACATAATGTTGGACTTCTACCCCACCTAATGGCCCTCTTTCGATTTTGGACCCACATTTCTGATTTTTAGTTTTTAAATATACTCGTTATTCTGAATAACAAAAATACAAGTGGAAATATTTTATTTATTTATTTATTTATTTATTTATTTTTTAAAAAGAATGAATGTTAGTAATCTATAATTATTGGTACGTAAATATTGTTACGTATTAATTTGATTTTAGTGACACCATGGTCAATGGTACATGCAATTCTTTGATTATTGATTATCAATTATTGTTCACTCAAACGCACACTACCTAACAAATTTGCAAGAAAATGTTGCTAACATAGTACTCCTCATTCTTTTTGTGTGTTTCATGTGTTTGTGCACTTGTGTACGAATAGTATCAATTACATGATATAATTAAATTATAAAATATAACATTTTAAAAATTTAATAAGATTTTGGATAAATATTAAACTGATATATATTTATGATGATCAACGTTCTTTATTACGTAGTAAATATTAAATAAGAAATCTTTTCTATTGTAGGATTTCAAAACAAACAAAAACGAAACAATTGAAGTATTATACTTGCGTCATATATATAGAAATTAGATTTTTACATTTATCCCACTTCACACTCAAATGACTAAATGAGTCATATCAACGTGGTTAATGTGAAGTTTTTTTGGTCAACTAAGATATTATGCATTGAGTGCTTTATTCTTCATCCCAGAATACAAATCATGGTCTCCCACTTTCAATTTAAAGGATGTATCAACTTCTACAACTTTCATGACATTAAAATTTAAAACAAATATATGGTAATGATATTTATGCAAGTATTAAATATGTTTTCTACATAGGTATCTTGAGGAATTACATAATACGTTGATATTACAATAATCAGGATAGGTTATCAAATACGGAGTAGAAATTAAACTAGAAAATTATATCTTATATGCTACAACAATCAAATTAGGTTCAAACAGAAAAATGAACTAAGCAAATATTTTACTTTGCTAGAAAGGGGCAATCAAAACGATTCAAGACATACCATGCATGTTACAAGCAACTAAATTTAATTAAGTAGACGAGTTAACGAAATCTCTACTAGCTTCATTGACTACCCAGTAATCCACAACGCTAAGAGCTCCCAATTACATCGTATCATTTACAATATCTACCTAGCTATATATATCTCTATATAAATTTCTAAATTTTGCTCATTTTTGTTGAAATGTTTAGATATTTTGTATTAAACCTAAAAAAAGCTAAGCTAATAGAATCTTCTTTGAATATATATTATTTTGAATTAATATTCATGGTTTTTCTCTATATTTTGAATTAATGATTTTAAATGATACAAAAGGAATTGAAAGATTATTATACTTGCGTTTAAAGTACTTAGATGGCAAAAATATCCATATCAAGTGAGTCTAATCAATGTGGTTAATGTGAACTTTTTTACATACTAAAATATATTGATCGAGTTGATAAAATCCCATACAAATCCTAATTTCAAACTTTCATTTATAGATTTTACCATAAATAAAATAAATATCCAGCACATTCATAAATTATACATGGTAAACGACATTGCAACAAATTCATATCATTCTATGATGTCGCTTGCGTAAAGATTAACAAAAGGAAAAAAATCATTAATTAATGAAGTAATACAAAATACAATATTAAGCTAGATATGTTAAAACATATGCATTGCCTCCATTTCTAAAAGGTTAACTCATTTACTATACATGGTCAAAATAAAATAACTTTGACGTTTGAACACATTATCATATGACTAATACGTACTGTTAATTAACATGTGGTGGATCTTGTTATATTCCTCTTATATAAGTTTTCCAAATTAAATATCAATTTTTTATAAGCTTCACTTATACATAGCTAAAAACATTTATAGTTAAAAATGTTCATTTGAAACCGCGTAAACGCAAAGTGAGTCGAACTTTTAAGAAACGTATGAGCTCCTAAAACAAAATCATAGATGATATGTACTATATATATATATATATATATATATATATATATATATATATATATATATATATATATATATATATGACAAAGTCTCAATACATTCATAGGGACAAAGTGATTCGAAACGTAATCTAATATGTTACAACTACACATCCTCCATCATCTGTTGTACACCATTTAAACCAAAACTCTCACGACAAGTGGGCTCATGGAGTCATGGTAAACAAAAGGGGATTGAGGAAGTATTAATTAGATAAGCCATCGACATCGCTACTAGCTTCATTATTGACCGCCCAATAATCAACACCT